CATTATCTCCATCCTCCAGGTCATCTCTTGGTACCAACAAGGGAAGCGTCAATCAGACACCAAATCTTGAACTATTCCTCATTTTGGCCATTGAGCAAACTCCCCTATTCCTCCTTTGATATTAATACCTATCTCCCATACTCCAAATTGTGGCCAAAGGTAATGTTTAATTAGGAAAACAGAAAAGAATGCAACCAAGATAGGATTTAGAGTTAGGCACACCTTCTGCAAATTCCAATTCCACTGCTCAATGTAGCTATACACCTAGAGGGCAAGTCACGAGGACTCTCAAAGACCCACTTACCTGTCCGCTATGTGGGGTAACAATGCCTAGCACAGAAAACCACTCTTTAGAATGAAGGCTGAAAGGTGTGTGTACACCTGTTACCATATGCCTGGCACAGTCCAGGAACAGAGTTCCTTTATTTCCCATCTTGCATTGAAAAATCAAACTTGAGGGGCTTCCCTGGGGGCTCAGTGGTAAAGACCCTACCTGCCCGTGTGGGGGACGCAGGTTCCATCCCTGGTCTAGGAGGAGGCCACATGCCGCAGAACAGCTGGGGCCGTGCGCCGTAGCCACAGAACCTGTGCTCCAGAGCTTGGAACCTCAACTACTGGTCCCACGCACTGCAACCCCTGAAGCCTGCGTTCCTGGAGCCTGCACTCTGCAGCAAGAGAAGCCCAAACACTGTAACTAGAGAGTAGCCCCTACTCACGGAAACCAGAGAAAAATCCCCAGCAGCAAGGAAAACCCAGCACAGCCATAAATAAATAAACAAAATTTTAAAAAATCGAACAATTAATCTTATCCAACGCCCCTGGTACTTTATCCTGCTGCTGTTATTAGCAGCTAAGAAACAGCATTCTACAATAATAAAATCACAAAAAAGGAAGGAAGGATGCCAGGAAAGAAAGAAGAAAGGAGGGAGGGAGTAGGGAAAGATGAAGGAAGGAAGAAGTGAACTAGTGCAGCCCTGAGCAGCAGGGCACGCTAGGACTGGATGTGGAGAATGACAACAGAGCTGCAGATCTTTTTTCCTTTTCTTTTTAATTTATTTATTTTAATTGAGGGACAATTACTTTACAATATTGTGATGATTTTTGCCATACATCAACATGAATCTTGTTTCCTAATACATGCAACTTTGGTGACCTCAGGCAAGGTACTTACCCTCTTCCTTGGCTTTCTTATCTTTAAAATAATAATAATCTTAATAATAATAACACCTACTTCATAAGATTATTTTAAGCATTCAATGTAATAACGGACATGAAGACATCCAGCACAGTGTCGGGCACCTGACAAATGCCAAAAAAAAAAAAAATGCTGATTGAATTTAAATGTCAATTCTAAGGTTACTCACATAAGCCCTCCTAGGAAGGATAACTCAGTTTCCTCATCCGAAATAATCAGAAGAGCCAGGCTAGCTCAGAGTGTGTAGTGCAGAATGTCCTAGAGGGACGTGAAAGCCTCATTGTAGAGTTGCAATATTAAGTTGTTCTTATTAAAATAAGCTCACCAGGCTGCATGGGGACAGAATTAAATCCAATCCACCTACAGCACGGCAGGAAGCAATCAGTCTGCTCCTGAGCAAGGAACGATAAATAATTCAACAAGATGGAGACACTGGGAGTCTTCTTATTTTTCTTCTGGCTGGTGATAAGTCCTGCTCCTAGTTCCAAATCATAAATGGAATATAATTCCCCAGACTGAAGAGGAAAAATATCATGCTGGAAATGCAAGGACATTATGACAATTCTTTTCCCGACTAATTCCAGTCCTCAGTGATCTTTTTCTTGATTTGAATTTCTTTAGTGTTGGGTTTACAACCCACACGACATCATGACTGAATGAATGACCCAACATCTTGGAATGACTCTCTTTCTACCTTGAGATCGTTTTCTTAACAATCATAACAGTTAATATTTATTGACCACTTACTCTGTGCCAGGCATCATTTTATCATTTCATTTTCACAGCGATCCTCCAAATCGGTGCTATCATTATGCTCATTTCAAGGGTAAGGACTGAGGCCCAGAGAGGTTAAGTAGCTGGTCCAGTGTCACACAGCTAGCAGTGGCATAGCAAAGATTTGACCCCAGACTGTCTGACTCCAGAGCACAGACTCTCTATCCTTCTCTGGTGCATATTCCCAGGGTACAAGCATCTCAAAGACCAAAGGCTCACCTTCCACCTAATTTCCTTCCCCATACTTCCTACAACAGCACTGAGAAGGGAAAGGTGTCAAGTAGGGACTTTCGTGGCAGTCCACTGGTTATGACTTTGCCTTCCAATGCAGGGTGTGTGGGTTCGATCCCTGATCCGGGAGGTAAGATCCCACAAGCCTGGAGGCCAAAAAAAACAATACATAAAACTGAAGCAATATTGTAATAAACTCAATAAAGACTTAAAAAATAAAAAAAGTGCCGAGTAGATGACTGGCAAGTTGAGTTCCAAAAAGGTATTCAGAGGCCTCTACTAGAAGACTTCACGTGCACACTTTACCATCTAGGACCACTGCATACAACCACGCTGGCCACATACTGCACGACCCCAGAGGGCACTCTTCACAAAGATTACAACATGAAGGAACCTGCCGGAACCAAGAGCCGTTTGCCTCTTGCCATTCCAAACCAGAACCATTTCCCAAGCCCTCTTCAGCACTCTCTCGCCTAGACTCATCTCCTATACCTAACAGAAACATTTAGACTTCTGGACATAAGAAGAGAGAGGTTGTGTACACCTTTTATATAATCAATGCCTTGCGTGCAGAAGACGTGATGAATACGTGTTACAGAAAAGGAAGTTCTGACTACTTATCATTTTTTCTACATCAGAAAATGAGTTGCCGCTTTGACTGCTTCCTTCTTTGATCAAATATAAACTCTCCACTGATCAAGAACACATGATCATGGATCTATTTTTATTTAGATCAAACTTATCAAATTAGGTCATAATACTTGGTGCCAGTACAAAGTGAAAGCGTTACTCGCTCAATCATGTCTAACTCTTTGTGACCCCATGTACTGTAGATTGCCAGGCTCCTCTGTCCCTGGAATTTTTCAGGCAAGAATATTGGAGTGAAAAAAAAAAAAAAGATACTGGAGTGGGTTGAAATTTCCTACTCCAGGGGATCATCTCAACCCAGGGACTGAATTCGGGTCCCCAGATTCTTTACCATCTGAGCCACCAGGCAAGCCCCTTCTTAGTATTAATACATGACCAACATTTCCAATCTAGTGTGGGGGGACACCATTTAAAAGAAACAATATATTTGCTTCAAGAATACTCTCTCTTCTCCAACCAACCTCCCCCTGATGCATACACACACACACACAATAGCATTTAGAGTTATAATCATTTGACTGTTAATATAATCACTGGTGAATGTCGGTCATAAATACTCAGTACTAACGGGGTCAGATTCCCTGGTGGACACTGAGGAATGTGCCTGGTGGATTGTGGAGGGGAGCCACTTTTCCAGGGAAGTTCAGGGGGATTAACCACCCATCTGAACCTCCACGGCCTTTCAAACAACACCAACACTCTCTTCCGGCCGGACTGGAAAAGTCCCACTTTCCTTCGACTGGAATTTACCACTTACTACAGCCTCTTGGCAAAAGTACTTCGACTTTTATTGTTGGGAGCTGCACAGGGCACATAAAATCACCATGCTTCTCTCTTAGGACTTAAGAAAGCAGGAAGACAAAGGGCAGCTTTTAGTCTTGGTAAATTGAGGTTTTGATACTGTTTTCATGAGATTCACTCAGAAAAATTCTCCCTCTGTTTATTGACCACTGCAGGGCTATAGCCCTGCCAGAAGCTGTCGCAACGGCAAAGTGAAAAGGAAGCAGCATAAAAATAAAATCACACCACCACAAGTATCTAGTGAATGTGCGAGTGTGCTAAGTTGCTTCAGTCCTGTCCAACTCTGTGATCCTATGGACTGTAACCCACCAGGCTCCTCTGTCCATGAGGATTCTCCAGGAAAGAACACTGAAGTGGGTTGCCATGCCCTCCCCCAGGGGATTTTCCTGACCCGGGGATCAAATCCACACCTCTTATGTCTCTTGCATTGGCAGGCAGGTTCTTTATACCACTAGTGCCACCAGGGAAGCCCATCACTGAGCATCTACTAACAACTGCGCTCTGCGCTGTGCGGTGCTGTGATAAGTCACTCAGTCATGTCCAACTCTTTGCAACCCCATGGACTGTAGCCTGCCAGACTCCTCTGTCCATGGGGTTTCTGCAGGCAAAAATACTGGAGAGGGTTACCTCCAGGGGGTCTTCCCAACCCAGGGAGCAAACGCTGGTCTCCCGCATTGCAGGCAGATTCTTTACCCTCTGAGCCACGAGGGAAGCCCAAGAATACTGAAGTGGGTAGCCTGTCCCTTCTCCAGGGGAACTTTCTGACCCAGGAATCAAACCGGGGTCTCTTGCATTGCAGGCGGATTGTTTGCTGGCTAGCCACCCGAGAAGCCCAACAATTGTTCTCACAGGGAAAAAAGTATGGTTCCTGGAATCAAGATGCTTGTAACCAGGCCAGAGAGTAAAGGCTAATAAATACAGAACAGTGAAAGAGAGAAACGGTATATAATTAAGCACAACGTTAGGTGACTGGAGAAGGAAATGGCAACCCACTCCAGTATTCGAGCCTGGAAAATCCCATCGACAGAAGAGCCTTGCGGGCTACAGTCCATGGGGTCGCAAAGAGTCAGACACGACCAAGCACATAAGACTCATATTAGCTGGCTTCCACCAAAAACAACCTGCACTTCCACTGTCTTCCCCTTCGTCCATTCTCCATAGCGCGGGCAGAGTCACCCTGCCACAACACAAGTCTCAGGGCATCACTTCCTGTTTAAAGCACTGCAATAGCTCCACCTCTGATGAAGCCCACATTTCTCACCATGGTCTTAAAGGCCATTCAGGATGGAGCCTCTGCTTACCTCTGGGGTCTTATTTCTCCTCACTCTCCTTCCTCCCTGGTCCTCTATCTATGCCAGAAGTTTGCACCATTTCCAACACATTCAGAAGTAAGACATCACTCCCATAACCTTTGTTCCTTCCCCAGCACACCTCTCACTCCTGCTGATCCCCCTGCCTGGAACATGTACACACACATGTACACAGTGGTCTTGCTGACCATTGCCCATCCTTCAAGTCTCAGCTCAAACATCACTACCCACTGGGGCCGCTCCTGTTGCTCCCACCACCGCCTCCGATCCTCCTACATCACAGGAGTTAGTGTGCAGTATTGTAAGTATTTGTTTAACTGGCTGTTGCCACCATTTTCCTTTAAGACCTATGAGGCAAGGAATCAGGTTTGTCTTAATCACACAGTATTCCTTCCTCCTCAAACAATGCACATTTTAGGAATCCCCTGGTCGTCCAGTGGTTAAGATTCTGAACTTCCAGAGCAGGCAGCACAGTTTCCATCCCTGTTGGGGAACTAAGATCCCACATGCCAAGCAGTACAGCCAAAAATAAAAGAAAGAAAGAAAGAAAAAATGCACACTTAAGTGTTCATTCAATAGGTTTGAATGAACCTGTACTGTGGCTAGTTAGACAAAATGAAGATTAATAAGGACCAGAATGCAAAGAAAGGAAGACTGCTTGGAGGAGATACTACTTAACTTGGATGTTATAGGTGAGTAAGATTTTGGAAAGGGAAAAAGGAGGTGAAATTATGGTCAATAATATAGTCAAATACTTTCAACTACATCCAACAGCTGGAAGGTATTCAACTAATTGTAAACTAATGAAGAAAAGCTTTTCCATACCTAGACAGTATATGAGAAAGCAGAGACATCACTTGACCTACAAAGGTCCATATAGTCAAACCTGTGGTTTTTCCAGTAGTCACTCGCGGATGTGAGAGGTGGACCGCAAGGAAGAGGTGGACAACTCAACAATGGATGCTTTTGAATTGTGGTGCCGGAGAAGACTCTTAGGGGTCCCTTGAAGAGCAAAGAGATCAAAACAGTCAATCCTAAAGGAAATCAACCCTGAATATTCACTGGAAGGACTGATGCTGAAGCTGATCCTCCAATACTTTGGCCACCTGGTTCGAAGAGCCAACTCACTGAAAAAGACCCTGGTGCTGGGAAAGACTGAAGGCAGTAGGAGAAGGGGGAGCTGGAGGTGAGATGGTTGGATGGCATCACTGACTCGGTGGACATAAATCTGAGGAATCTCCAGGAGACAGTGAAGGACAGGCAGTCTGGTGTGCTACAGTCCATGGGTTTTCAAAGAGTCGGACATGCCTTAGTGACTGAACAGCAACAAATGAATAAACAGATTAATGAATTAAAAAACAAGTTTATGAATAGCTTTCTTGATGAAAGGAACAAAAAAAACCATGAATTAAAGGTGTTTTTCTGAAAACATAAAACTAGTGCCATTTATCAACATCCCCAAACATATTGTAACAGAGCATGTGGAATGGAGGTGGAACTTATCAAGACTCAGGTTATCAAGTAACCAGCACGTTCCATGTCCCACATCATTTCTGACATCCCCAAGCCTACTTCCACCTGGATGTTTTTTTATTACTTTTAAGAGGTCCAGGAATCCAGAAAAAAAATGGCTTCCAGTTGCCTTTGGACTTTGTATACATTCACTGAGTTTTTTTCATGTTCTGGCCTTAAAACAGAAAGAAATGAGTGTTTCTAGCAACAATATATCCAGCACAGGCTAGACTGACAGTTATTCCAAAGCCAATCTCCAGAACATTTGTCAGACATGATAGGTTCTGAGTTTTACCCTCTTCTCAAATGCTGTGGATTATCATGGAATTTTTGTATTTGGTTGGCAATTCTCCTGACTAGAAGTCCTGATTAATAGGGGACATGAAGCCTTGTTTAGAAAAATTCAATACATTATGCTCTAGTCGAAGACATCCTGAGCAACTCTTTTGCAAGCTCCACATTGTAATGTTCACATTGACTCCCTCCTCTGGGGGTTTGAGGGGCCAGGAGTTGAGAAGAGCGGGTGGCGGGTGAAAAGAAAGAAACCAGCCTCTTGGCAGCTTCTCAACAATAGCTCCAGCTCCCCATCCCCTCCAAAAAAAAACTTTTTTTTTTTCATAGTTGCTCTAACCAAGAAAATATGCATAGCTTCCCGACAGATTGGATAATGCGGAGATTTGAGAAAATTGTGCAATTCGCCTTATTTTCAGTTCACCCCCAAATGCTTTGGGTACAAGGACAGCTTCCATCCACACATAATAGTAGTTTCATTTTCTTAAACTGACGAGTGGGACCAGGCAGCAATAGTAATACGTACTAAGTCGCCTCAGTCGTGCCCAACTCTTTGCAACCCTGTGGACCGAGGCCCACCACCCACTCTGTCCACGGGATTCTCCAAGCAAGAATACTAGAGTGGGTTGCCATGCCCTTCTCCAGGGGATCTTCCAAACCCAGGGATCGAACCCACGTCTCTTAAGTCTCCTGCATAGGCAGGCAGGCTCTTTACCACTAGCACGACCTGGGAAGCAGAGGCATTTTTTTTTAAGGCAAGGGACATCGCAATGACACCCAATCTTGTTTGGGGACTCCCCCCTCTTGGTCCCTGCTCAACTGGAGTCAATCAATCCCAGCAGGAGAACCAGCTGACCCAGCTTCACTGAGATGAGATATTCCTGGACGACACAAGGAAGCCTTCCAACTTGTACGTTGGAGAATCAGAAGGAACCAGAATTCTGGCTGGCGGTTGCCAAGAAACTCTATATGATGCAGGTGCAAATCATTTTTCCCCCTCTTTTAAATTCAGACTCATTAAAATATGTATTTTGCGAGGGGATTAAATTCAAACATCTGGGAAGGGGGGGCGGGAAATATCCACAACTCCTGAACTACTTTTTTTCACTTAGTTGCAGACTTTGATTGTCCCGTTTCTTAGAGGCAGCGGGTGAGAGGCTGCTTGCCCGGTGGGATGACAGCAAAGGGCAAGAAGAGAGTTAGAAAATGACTTCCAAGGGCCCCAGACTTCAACAGCAGCCGTAATTGTGGGAAAGTAACCCGAAGATGCCAAACAACAGGAAATTACCAGAAGAATCTGTCAGCACAATCAGCTGCTATTTTCATTGTTCTTTGGCAAATTTATACACAGTCGGGAACACCTGGGCTGGCCTGAAGCCCAGGTTTGACTAATTGCCAGGGGAGAGGAGTCGTCATTTGTCTTCGAAGGGATTTCCTCCGTTCGCTCCTCAAAACATGTGGTTTCACTTTTCCCCTCTCTCCGCAGGAAATGGCAGGACAGTGAGACGCAAAATAAATGAGTTCACTTCCAAGAGGTTGCCTCCTAAGAGGCCACTCCAAAAATAACTGTCTTGTGAGAGGTTGTTAATAACCAAGATTCTATAGACTGTCCTCAGAAAACAACATTTCAAAGGCACAATGATTTCCACCCCCAGCCCCTTTCCTTCCAAACACAGCGCACATTAAAAATAAAAGTCATGGGAGACGAGAGAAGTAATCAAGTTTTCTGGACAGAGTGATTGTCACTCCTCTCACTCCTCTGCAAGACCCCTTTCATTGGAGGGTAACCTCACCCAAAGCTCTTCCCTGACAAGTGAAAGGTGGAATTGGAATAGTAAGTGATGTCAGTCTCTCTTGCTCTTCCTTGCTGCCCATCAGCCTCTTCCGTCTGACATGCAGCATCTCAGCCTCCCCGGGGGGACCACCGGGCAATGCCTAAGACATGGACTGAGCCCTGTTCACCTCGGCTGCCCTGAGCCTGGCATGGGGTTGATGCTAGTCAGTATCCATCGAATGAAGAACGCTGAGCGGGTTGCAGGAGTCACCTGCTTTGTGGCAAGCTTCCCAGGAGTGGGTGTAGATATTTTTCAATTTCTTGAACTTCAAGAGATCACCTTTTTACGAAAACCACCTGCCAGAGTGACAGCCTTCTCCCCCAACCTCTTTCCATAGTTTTATACACACACAACTTCTGCTTTATACCTCCTCACATTATTTCAGACTCTTTCCAAGATACCGTACTTGGGTAGCAAAGTCATCTTTTATATCCCTTCTTGGAGGCAACAGAGCCTTCTCACTTAATTGCCTAGTATTTTAAATGTGCTGATTGGGAAATGTCACGGGGACAGTACGTTTCCAATTGAAACGTACATCCGCCTTTGGTGAGTCTCACCTGCGTTGCGCCCAACCTCTCCAGTGATTTAGGGGTTCTGGCGTCACGTCAGCAAAGAATCAACTGCTTTTCCTTTCTTTCCTTCTTGCTTTTTTCAGGCATTGAGAGCAGGCAGCAGATCATTACTACCCCCGGTGAAGCCAGCAACATTTGGGTTTGATTTGCTTTCAGTCACAGACCCCTTTCTCAAAGTCGAGCGGCACTGTAATTCTAAACTGACCCACCTTCCCCCTGCAAAGGTGAAAAAATGTTATGGAGCTTTTTACAACCCACAGCCCATCATTTATGCCGAAACACTGGGAGAGTTCAGACTTGGCTTATTTTCGCTAACTCAGAGCTGTTTTGACATGTTTATTTGTTTAATTTGTTTATTTTGACTAGCTCTGATTATAATTGGCAGCAGTGTGTAGCATTAACATTAGACAGTGTCTTAGACTTGTCTGTTGCAATAATGCAAAAAGAATGTGAAGGAAAATCTACCCACTGCATAACAATGGCAGGCAGGCAGGAAACCTACAAAAGAGTTCTTCCACACAAAAAAAGAAACATAACCTCAGTTTTCAATTTTATTTAAAAATTTACACAACTGTACAAATGATATCTGAGCACTAATTATTTCCTTTATTCAATAAATCTGCCCCTCTGCTAAGAGACTTGGACAACAGTGACTAAAAGTGGAATTTTTTTAAACTCTAACCTTTGGAATTTGTTTCTTTGAGATTTTTTAAAAATTGTTCTGCTCTCTGGCCTCTTTAACAAATCAAAGCACAATAATTATTTGATAATGTTGTAATATTGGGATGATCACATGGTATCCAATGCAGTTTATGGTTGAAGATATACCTTCTGAATTCTTTGACTTAGACTCGCTGAACAATGAAAT